ATCGCTTTTAGTTTTTGAGTTATAATTGAGTTAATTTTCGAAAATCAACAATTTTGATGTTTAATCGATTTACAGCTTATAAATAAAAAATGGTAATAATTGGATTCAATCTTGTTATGGATTTAGTCTTTATGGCCCATTACTAAGGTTTTATGTATAAAAAGTATTTCTCCATCGCTTTTAGTTTTTGAGTTATGATTGAGTTAGTTTTCGAAAATCAACAGTTTTTATGTTTAATCGGTTTAGAGCTTATAAACAAAAAATGGTAATAATTGGGTTCAATCTTTTTATGGCTCTAGTCTTTATGGTCCATTATTAAGGTTTTATGTATAAAAGGTATTTCTCCATCGCTTTTAGTTTTTGAGTTATGATTGAGTTAATTTTCGAAAATCGACAATTTTGACGTTTAATCGGTTTAGAGCAGTAGTGTCCACTAATTTTTGATCAAAATCGACTTTTTATATAAATGTCTTGCCAAGATCGACCGAAGGGTTTAAAGTAACCTTCCTTTTTTTTGCTCTGATTCCCAGATATTAGATATTTCAGATTCATGATTTACTTGGCCATCCACTCAAAACTGCTTTCCGATCGACCAGTCGATCGCCATCGACGTTATGGACACCACTGATATATACCAATTCACCTGATATCTTGCAAAGCTATTATCCGCAATATAGACCCATCCTTTACCGAAGAGGACATCAAATAAAATTTAATCACAGACAATGAGAGGGAAATTCTTGCAGTGAGGAGATTCAAAAGGAAAATAGCCAAAGAAGTTAGTGGAGATTCAGGCTCACAAATAGAATTTGAATACAGAGATACTTCAACATTATTAGTTACTTTCGCCGGGACGGTAATTTCTAATTACATCAAACTATTTTTTAATGTAAGAAGAACCGAATTATATACAGCACCAGTAGTGCAATGTCACAAATGTTGTAGATATGGGCATACTAATAAAATATTTAAACCTAAACTAAAATGTCCCGAATGTGCGGAGGAACATGATTTCAAACAATGCACAAAAAAAAAAGCCCTAACTGTATTTTCTGTAAGGGTGATCATTTATTTACAGAGATGGGTACTCCTTTTGCTGAGAGAATTTGTCCTGAATTTACCAAGCAATCTACAATAAAAAAACTAATGGGAACCTACAAAATTTCTGCTTTCGAAGCACTGATGGCCGTTAACAAGATCTCGGACAAACAGTTCGCTATTAATAGACTAAATGATGATATTAATTTGCCTAGGTTACCTTCTAATAGTCAGTGTAGTAAAGGTTTAAATACAAATAGTAACAAAACGACTACACAACCTAAGAAAAATTTTACAATTAAGAGAGTAACTAAGTCGCATAATCCAGCAAGTTCTCCTAAACGTAAAAGTTGAACACCCTCAGAACTTATATTAATTCAGGATGGAAAAACTCCAGAAATTTTAGTTAAGAAAATTTGTCCTACTCAGGAAGGTTTTAATAGAGCCCACTTAAAGGCTAATCTGGAAGAGATGTATGACGCAGATGAAATTAACTATCAAGTGAATGAGAATGAGTTAAGATCACCAACCTTGTCGCACGATAGTTTTGTTTCGGCTTCATTTGTAGCACCATCTACCATTATTTCCCGAGTACATTACACCAACAATAACGCTATTTAGTTTAATGGATAACACAAGTTCAAGTATTAATATTATGTTATGGAACTCCTGTAGTTTAAGCAGAAACAAGCTCAGGATGTCATAGTCATCTGTGAAACTTGGCTAAAGAAAAATTTTTTGGTAACTACTCCTGGTTTCAATGCTAGACATATCACAAGAACTGATGGGTATGGAGGACTTTCCATTTTGATTAAAACAGGTGGACAAGCGGCATGGCTAGACGATCTGATGTATATTACTCCTGATTTGAGTTTTAGTACTTATGATTGGAATCAATTACTCTTGAATGTTACTGCACCTTTTATTATTTTGGGTGATTTTAAAGCACACCATACTTTATGGGGGAGTTACACTGTAAAGTAAAGAGGCCTGGCATTGAGCGAGCTAATTGAAACAACATTATGGATTTGATTGTTTGTTCCTCAGATATAGTGCGAAAACGTTGTGTCAAAAACCGTTACAGACACTTTGGGAAGTGATCATTTTCCTGTTTTAGCTAGGGCACTTACCAGTACTGGACTACTTTTTCAGAACACATTGACAACTGTTTAAACCTGGAAACATCACCTTCTTACGAAGTATTGATAATGACAATAAGGGAGGCGGCTGATTGTTTCATTCCGAAGTTTAAGTTAAATGTCAAAACGAATCATCCTTGTAGATGGTTGGATGGTGATTGCGGCAGTTTATGACGTGTCCTAGCGAGATTAATTTTACCATAGTCAAGAGGTATATGGCTTTGAGTAAAAGACTTCTACTTAAAAAGCATCGAGAATCTTTCAAACAGTTCTGCGAATCACTATCCAGGGAGTCATCGTTAGGAATGATATGGGGAACCATAAGGCATTACGATAGAGCCATTAATGGCACTGAAATCCAAACATCTACAGACTTCGCATGGACCCGGGATTTTATGTCTCACCTTTGTCCGGAGTATGTGCCTAATTTGGAGGATGTTGAGACTGGTATAATTGAGGAGTCGGACTTTAATATAAGCAAACCATTCAGCAGTACGGAATTAGAGTTAGCTCTGAAATTTAAAAAGACAACATCCCCCGATTCAGACGACGTCAGTTTTACCATATTAAACAACATTTCAGATAGTAGCAAAGACATCCTGTTGAAAACCTTTAATAACATCTTGAATGGAGGCAATGTTCCTGATGCTTGGCATGAAATACAGGTAGTTTCGATTTCTAAAAGGGGAATCGATTTTTCTCGTAAAAGTAACAGTCCGACACTTCGATATGTTAAGTGATAAATTATTAATCTCACAAAAATCATAAAATCTGTTCAGGTCATTCTTAAGGTTAACGCAGTCTGAAACAGCAGCAACTGGAGAAAATATTTTAATGTCGTCAGCATACATAAGACATCTTGAGGTAAGAAAAGACTACCCTGAGGCACTCCGGAAGACATGATAACAGGACCGGACGAATATCCACCAACCTCAAACATCTGCGTGCGATTGGAGAGGTACGAAGTAAACCAGCTCAAAAGAACACCTGCAACAGCAACGCGCTTCAACTTCAACAGTAGTAAACAATGATCCACTTTGTCAAAAGTTTTGCTAAAGTCAGTGTATATCGCATCTACTATTCTATTCTAACAAGTTGGTGTCCACAGATCGCTCCACACAGAACTTCATCTGTAAAAATAGTCTGCTGTAAACCAATCTTTCAAAGATTTTATATTTTAATATGATGAAATAATGATTTATTATGATTTTATATGATGAAATACTGTTTGCAAAAGTCTAAATACTTCAACTGAAACACTAGACACTGCTAATAGAAGATCAGATTACTGAACAGTACTATTCGTGCCAAAAGTCGAGGCCCCTCTAGAGATCAATATCTTCGCAACTGCTCTATGAAAAAAATTGCGGTAAAATTTGTTATGATTACTGAACATTTCTACGTAACATATGTGAATTTGAAATTTTCAGCTCCACGGTTTTCTTTTTATCATGAGTTAAATGAAAAAGTACTTTACGATTTTTTTTTTTTTTAAACTATCTGACGAAAAAATTTCAACTTTAAACAGGTGATAGAACTATGTGTTTTGAATGAGGGGCATATTTCATTTTTTCGATATTACAGGTACTAAACCGTAGATTATATTAGGCGATTATGTCGAAAACGGCTGGGTGAATTTCAACGCTGTTTTAACCAAAATATGTCCAATAATTGCGTTTGTGGGATTCCGTTATCAGTTTTCAAAGTTATCTCTCTCTAATTTTTTTAGAGCGAATTATAAATTAAAGAAAGCACAGAAATGAGCCATGCCGGGAGAAGAAAAAAAAAGTTCAATACGGCTGATGTGTATTTCAGACAGGATGTCGCGCCTTTATTGTACCTACATAAAGAAATAAAGGCGCGACATCCAGTCTAGAACACACAACAGCATCATATTTTCCGATTGGCCGAAATCCTCGGCACCCACAGAAATTGGGTGCTTTTTTCATTTAGTTCGCGATACAAAAATATCGATCTCTGAAGTGAGAGGCCTTGACGTTTGGCACGGATAATAGATACTGTTAGTGGAAATTCTTTATTTTTGTATGTTCCGTAGCAATAATAAGTTTTCTCAGCACTTTTTAATTGAAGGCTGCAAATAGATAAGATCCTGCTGAAGACCACATATTGCTGCTATTGATGTGAATTTTGATAGAAATCCACAGTTTGCTTCTCCAAAGTTAAATCATAGTCATAAAAAAAGTTAATATAATTTCTAATTCTTTGTTGCCAACTTTTTGATGAATATTGTCGTACAAAAGAAGTAGTGTTTTAACATTGAAATAAAAAAAAAAATATTAAAGCGTAAAAAGGCACGGTGTAAAGTACAAACATAATAATCAATTTTTGTAGTACACTTTTTTTTATAAAAACTGGTTAGTTACACTAAAAAGCACCAAAAGGCAACTATTTTTTGTCATTAAAACATCGATTTTAAAACACAGCGAATTTTTTTAATTAACATGTTAATCTGTTTTTGAACATGTTAACGTTTTTATTGCAGTCTAGAGCAGCTACATAAACAGCCAAAACTTTCACTTTTATTTATTTAATTTTTTTAATATTTTTACCTTTTTCGTAAAAGTTTTTCGGTCAGGATTAGGCCGGTTTATGAATAAATTGAACAGTATTGTGTTAATTAATGGTAGATTAGAACACAAAAGGGGTTAAATACATAACAAAAATAACATAGATTATTACAAAAAAATTGGATTCATTCAAATTCACTCACTCTCTTCATCAACCAGAAAATGGCTAAACAAAGGATTTTTATAATTTTATACAGGTAGTGTTAAAATCACCGAAGGAGCTCGTTTTTTATACGCAATTATTTATTGATATTCGTTCTAATTAAGCTCGGTCGATGATTTTTAATTGCAGCCTGAAAACATTTACAATTAACAACACATAAGGCGCAGTCCATAAACATTAAAAAAAAATAATATTATTTATCAACATTATTTTTTTTTTTTTGGTAAGAATATGAGATTCAAAACAGTAATTTCTTCTTATGATTATGTCTTGGTGTTAATTTTATTATTTAATTATGTAGTTGTATTTTTTAAATTATGTTTTTTAACAATTAATTTTTAATAACAAACACATAAGCGAAGGTTTTTGGTAAACAACTTCTACATTCCAAAAAAGGAGATTTATCTTGAAAAATTAAAGGAATAACATATAATATAGAGATAGAGGCCAATGGGGGATAACACCATAGACATGAAAAACAAAAACTCACGATTGTTTCGGGTTTCCACGGAAATCGCTGTTTTGTTAAAATAAAATCATCACGCAGTATTTCTGTCTTAAAAACGTTCTCGGAAGACATTTTTAAAAATACGTTTTTTTGCGATATTATTATTGTCGCATTTATTTCTTATTACCAATTTAAAAGGAAAGACTTTTCCGACATTTTCACATATGTCACAACAAAGCCACTACATTATTTTCCCTTTTTTCGCGACGACATAAACGATTTTCTCGTGTGCGTGGGGAAAAACTTTAATATCACCGCACCCTATGGGAATATGTTCGGAAAAACCTTTTCCAATACCACACTAAATCTTCGTATTGTGCTTTTTTTAGATATGTATGTAAATAACTTTTATGTTTTGTCTACAAAGTTATTATAGCTTATATATTTAAGATATAGATTTAAAGAAAATTATAATAAATTAACTCATCTCCAAACTATAAAGAAATCGTAATAACATTATTTTCCTTTTTTATTCAAGAAATACTTGAGTAATAAACTGTGTTATAATTTCCCAGTAAAACCTCCCAGATCCAAACAATAAAGTTTGAACCCCCCAAAGCAATGAAATGAAGCTATCATCGACACCGAATCAACTTCTCTTCTTCTTTTTGCTCATTCTTATATTATGTGGGGTCAGCTCTCCCAATATTTCTGCCCCACGACATTCTGTTCATTCTCTATATGTTGCCCTTTAAAAGATTAGAGTCTCCTAATGGAAGACTAGGTACAGCTAATAGAACACAATACTAGTACTGCTGTCAGAAGACTGAACGTTGTTTGCAGAAGACTAAATAATGCTTGTATATGGTTGCAGAAGTCTAACTATTGGTACTTATAATGGAACAGTAGATACTCTTAATAGAGGATTACGCTAATAAAAGATTAGATATCGCTTATAGAATACTAGATCTATTAAAAAATTATTAAATATAGTTTGCAGAAGACTAGATACTGCTGACAGAAGACTACAAAATGTTTACAGAAGACAAAATTTGCTTGACGAAGATTACAAATATGCTAATAGAAATCTAGATATTGCAGTCAGAACTAAACAGTAGTTGCAGAAGAGTAAATATTGGTGGCATATACATAATTCTAATGGAACACTTGATACTCCTTAAAAAATACTACATTTTTTGTAGATGATGAAATACTATTTGCAAAAGTCAAAATGATTTTTCAACTAGAAGACTAAAAAATCGGGTTATAATTTGGTGCTATTTTTCGAAAATTGATTTTGATCTGGACCACAAAACCTACAATGGCAAAACCTTCCAAATTCAAATAAAAAAGTTTGAACCCCCCAAAGAAGTGATCATTAGCCGGCCCTACACAGCCGTTATTTCGCGCGGTTTATCGTGTCATCTCCAAAAACATATAGAAAATCATATGCATAGGTGAGCATTGCTGCATGTCATACTAGAATGGAATGGGATATCAGACGTTTATATCAAAATTAGCTGCTTGTCTTGGTAAAGTAGTAGGTACTTTAAAATTGCTGACATGGCCGATATTCGTCATACCACAAAAGAATTCATAACTGAATTTATAGATATTTATAGGTCTTATCCGGCTTTGTGGAAGGTAAAATCGAAGGAGTATGGTTATGATGAATTACTGCAATTTCGCAAGATGGAAAATGTTGATCGAGATCTTGTCTCTTAGAAAATCCGATCGATGAGAATCTCATTTCAAAAGGAACTGAAAAAATTTAAAAGAAGTGGCGATTCTAGTGGTGATCACGTGCTATGTGTCTGGTTTCGATTTCGATTTATTAATGTTTACGCGAGAACATGAAACACCACATCTCCAGAAGAGATTTCCGCTTCTGAGACCGTTGACAACCTTAGCATAAAAAACAGCAAAACTTCTGTCGACGAATCCCTATAAAGGAGAAGGAAACAAGTGTATATAATGAAATCTTGAGATAAGATTTCATTATATTTAGAAGCCCTTCAAACTGTTTCTATCCACTCTTAAATAATTTCTAAAGTCATTTCAAGTCATCTACATGTGACAATATTTTTCTGTCAGTTAGCCAACTTTTCTGCCATATACATCGTTTTTTCTTTTTGTCTTTAGAGATTCCCCTGGCCATAACCGCACATGCAACAATACAAATTTTTCTCTTTTTATCCATCACTTCACAGTCAACAAACGACTTGAAGGCGCAACGTCAATCAAGTTGAAAATTTCTACATGACGACATCCGGATTCAAACGACACAATAAATGACACTTTTTGCCCACACACATACGATTTTTCCCTTGAAACTGATGTACTACGCGCAATCACATGCTAAATCATTTGAATATTTTACCAAGTGTATGGAACATGACCCTTTTTTTGCCATGTCGTTCTTTCTCGCATATCAACCGCCATTGAAGCCACTCAAATCAATTCTTTTTTTTTCATCATTGAAACATTATATGAGATCAGCTCTCCTAATATTTCTGCCCAATGACATTTTATCCTGGGTTTTCGATTTAGATCAATTATTTTCATTTTCATGTCATATTGGAACACCAGGTCGGGAAGCTTAAAGCTTTTTTTACAACATGATATTCGTCTCATGGCAACTCTACATAAATCTCTCCTTGAAGCTGCCGCTAACATATTCGTTCCGGATCCTGTTTAGTCTCGTCACTCTTTCTGGCCATCGTAATATTTTCATTTCGGTCGTATGAAGTTTTTGCATATGAGTTTTCTTTACCGTACAACATTCTGCACCATACAGCATAACGGGTCTTACCCTACACTTTGCCCTTTGTGCAAATACGCATATTCCAGTTAACACTCCAGTTAAGGGTCGCCATTTCTGACAGACCACGCTGTAGTAGATTCCAAGGTAGTGGTTTTAGGACGTCCTTAATAATCAATCCATCACAAAATTAAACAGTAGAGGGCTAAGAGCGGAGCATCGAATTCTTTGCTGAAACAAGCCGGAGTCCTAACCCTGGTGCGAACATTGTGATACATATCTTGTATTAAATGTATGTAACATTCAGGTTAATGTTGCTCTGAGAGATCATCAAACTGTGAGAGAACACATGTTGCATTTAAAGGATTCAAGCGACTGCAATTCGTTCAAATAAAACAATGCCAATTATGAAGGCCAGTCCCTTTTAATTGAATGTCAAAAGTAGTAGACATTTCAAAGAGATGTTATTGAAGAACAGAATTTAGAACAATTATTGTATACGGTACATTTTTGATTTAGGAAAGTTTCAGCACATTACTCCATATCGCAACAACCTGCAGATGATAACTTGCCAGAGTCGTAGATCATTTCGTATGCTTACTATGTTATTCAAAATTGTCCATACCCACACTCCTGCTGATTTGTCTGATGCCTTTTACTTTTTAGCATCACATGACTAGTGGGCAAATCGACCAATGTCGGACTCTAACTCATGTTTCCAGTCTATAGTACTGAAATCTACCACAGGTCTTTTACAGTACAGTCAATTGCGCTGTGGAACGATTTGCCTGCCGTTGTTCGCAATGCAACTAGTTTAATAAGTTTTAAAAATGCATTGAGGCGCCATCTACTATCTCTTCAACTATCTTCTTCTTGACCTGTACGTGTTTGTTTTCTTCTCTAGTCTGCCTTTCTTTTGCTGCACTCTTTTGTGTCTATTTCCTTCCTTGTAGTAACTGACACATAATGAATAAACATTATTATTATTAAAGAGTAATTTGAGATATTCTGCTAATTTGGAGTTTTTTGATATTCTGCAACACTTTGTCAAAAAAGAATACTTTGGTAATTTGGGGTAATCTGTTTATTTGGTGTATTCTGCTCATTTGTAAGTACTTTGCTATTCTGGAATAGTCTACTACTAATTGTAAGAAGCATTTCCATATATTGGGTTGTATGTTAATTTGGTATATTCCTCAAACTTATAGTACTCCGCTAATAAAGAGGACTTTGGTGATTTGGGGTACTCTGCTAATTTGGAGTTTTCTGATATTCTGCAATACTTTGCTATTCTGGTTTACTTTCCTGATAAGGAGCACTTTGATAATTTGGGTTTGTCTGTTATTGTCTTTCAAATTTATTAAGTACGTCCTTTCCGTCATAGCCTACGCCTCGGTTTTTTTGCACATTTTTGGATTTTAGTACATGGGACGTTATGAAATAAGCTTTATTTGCTGTATTTATTCTTCTGCGAAATTCCCCCTCTTCCAGCTATATTCAGTTCTACTCCCAAGTATATGAAGTGATCCACTGAAGTGGTTCAGGTCGATATATTTGGCATGTAGGCATAATTCTGAGTATGCTTGTGTTACCGAGTGTCCCCTACGGCTCATAATATTAATGTCATCTACATCGACAACAGTTGTAGGATCTTATTGGTTAGATAGTTCAGTTTTCTATCTCCAGTTCGATCAATATCCGGTACAGTTTATTTCAATAAATGAAACCTGTTTGAAATCTTAGAAGACACATATATCAATGTGATATTTCTAGACTTTCAGACTATTCCAGACTATTGGTATTACTACAAAAAGTTGATCCATCGTGGACCTCCCACGTCTGAATCCAGCTTCATATTCGCCAAATGTATTTTCTACCAGAGCTTTTTGACATTGGTTAATGATTTGAGTATTTTGTAGAAGAGATATTTAGCAATAATTAGCTCATTTCAGTTTATCTCCCTTTCTATAGTTAATGTATATTGCTTTTATTCCAGTCTTCGGGGATTTTGTAGAGTTTTTAGCTATTCACCACTTAGCTTATAGATTTCCGAGGGATTTCATCTATTCCTGGTTCCTTATTATTCTTTTGGGCGCTAATTGCTTGTTCAACTTCTGCTAGTATTGGGAGGATTTACATCTTGTCTGATATCAGCTTCCTATTGCGTTGCAAGAAAACACTACTTGTTTGGAAAAATTGCTTTCATCGCTACAGATATTTGTTTTGCGTTTTGAGTGCTCTCATGTTTTCAGGTATCTATATGCATCTCTTGGATCATTGTCTCTGAAGTCCTCTTCCATTCTTGCAATTAGGTAGTTCCAATATTTTTCTGGCCTCCTCGAATCCTGTTTTTCTTTCTCTTCTTCTTCTTGATATTTATTTCTTGTACTGTGTGGTTGAAGTGGTTGTGGTTTTTGAATTAGTTTCTGCATATTAATCTAATTTGAACTATACGGTGATCAGATCAGCAGCATGCTCATCGTCTTGATTTAACGTCCAATATGCAGCTACTCTTTGTTCTATAAGAACATGGTTTATTTGATTCACCATGGTTTTAATTTTAGCTTTTCCATTATCATAGAATTTAATGATTACCCAGATCTTGGTCACAACTTAAATGTTAAACGCAAAAAACGTGAAATTTATATCTTTATCTTTATTAAAAAAGAAAAAATAGTTATTTTTGATTTCTTCTTAGTTTCAAATTTTAATATTTCAAAAAAATAATCTGCGAATTTTTACCTGTTTTTTAGCTTTCTGTTTGGAGATGTATTGAGTCATTAACACTTATTAAAAGTGAGAATAGGAATAATTTGAAATTACTAAAATCAATGAAAAAAGTTTTCTTTTTCTATTTTTTTTAGGACTATTGATTAAATCATTTCTTATCTTCTTTCGAAAGTGGACCAATTAAAATCGCAAAAAAATGAGAAAGGAAGGAAAATGGTTTGGGGGCGGCGGAAAAGTAAATATGATTTTCTCACAATGAACGTAACGATAACGACGGAAACTCGGTCGAACTTCGGTCGGTTTTGTTGGTGTTTAATTTCCGTTCAACGATTATTCTCTATTCTCATTTTGAATAATGCTATCAAAAATGTTACAAGATAACAAAAAAGAATTATTAAAATATTGTGTTTTCTTCTATCCCATTATTAATAATATTTGTATTAAAAACTTATTCACTTCATGCTCACTAAATAATCGTTTAAAATTAAAAAAAATTAAAGTCGAGGAAATCAAATTTTCCCATTAACTCACCGTGTCCATATTGATGCCTTCAGTAAGATTGGCAGCCACGCCATTTGGCATTTCCGCTATGCTACTTGGAGCGAGCATAGTTTCCTGTTTGGCTGTAGCGACGTGATTCGCCGCAGAACTCGTCGCGGCCCCATTTTGGGGCTTCGTCGCGTCAAGAAGCACCTTCAATGATGCTATCGCGTGTAATTGCGTTGCTTTCTCATCCACTTTACCTAAAAAATTAAACAAAAAACGACAAATTTAAGGCAGAATTTGATTAACTTTTGAGATAGTTGAAAACAATGAGGTACTATGATTTGCCAAAAAAAATCATAACACCCCAAAAACATTTTTACCACAATTCTTTTTATTCCATGCATCATGCATTATGTCAGATAAAAAAATGCCAATAGAATTTTCAAGTAATCAGTTTAAGATTAACGTCGTTTCACCAACAGTAAGCGTGTTAGAAAATATAAGGAGAACTAGACATAATTACGATTTACTGGTTACGAGGGGTGTTGCAACAATAATTACGAAAGGGGAGAACGCGCTTCTCTTTTGGAGTAAACCCAGGAGGGCCCAACCACCGAACGGGAGAATGTTGGTTGGAACGATGCCAAGAAATTATTTTATTTTACGACCGATGGGATTCGCGTGGTTCTTCTTGGACCATTGTTTAAACTCGAATGGCCTGCGGTTGATCGGTATTGATGGGGAATTTTGGAAATTCTCAATTGAAAATAATGGAACAGTAAATTTACGGTTCAATTTAATCCTTCATTTTATGAAGATATTAGATTATGATTACTCAGAATTTTTTAAATAAATATAAATAATTTATTTATGACAACTTGAAGAAACAGGATTAACATCAAAAGAGCTCATTGGGACAAATTCACAAAAGTTATGGAGTATGACAAAACAAAAAAAACCAGTTAATGCACACGTGAAACTTACAAAACTTGCACTGAGCCATGAGGAAGAACACTTTTCTAACCTCTACAGTGATGCCGAAAAGACTAGCGATAGAGAAACTAGAAACAGAGAAACAATAAAACAGATAACACCAAATTAACAAGTCAAAAATCTGCAGGGGTTGATGAGATATCGTATGAAATATTAAAATACGTTGGGGGTGCACTGCTCAAAGAGATAGAGGAGTTTCTCAAAAAGTAATACAAACAAAAAGAATACCAACCGAATGGAAAGAAAGCATAAAAACACAAATATTCAAAAAGAGATGCAAGAGAGATCCTGAGAACTATTTATAAAGATTCTCAGGCTTGCGGCATCTCTGAGAAGAAAGCCATTGACTGCAATAAAATAACGACATGTGTTTTGTTGAGCTTACAAAAGCATTTGATCAAGTAAGGCTTCGATATGTTGTGGAGCTAAACACCAATAACTGGAATAAAGTAAAACCCAAGACACGCAGAGAATCCGATATAAACCAGAAAGATAGTCTCGCTGAACAATTACCACAAAAAGAATTCCTAGAACAGCTGACGTGAAGACGCTATAAAAGAAGAGATATCTCCCCTCTTCCCTTCATCGTCCCTCTCCATCAACAGATACTTTGGCAGTTCCTCTGTCACTATCTCGCCATACCTTTCATTATATCTTCCTACTCGTATCTGTGACTTTCTTTCCTGCCTATGTATGTCCTTGTCCCTATCTCGCAGTTCTCCCCACATTTCACCTCTCTCCACTCTTCTGTTGTCGATCCCAATTAGTGAATATCCCACTCTTCTATAATATCCTTCCCGTCACGCCGATGACGTAGCTATCTTGTTAAGAGGTGAACATGACAATTTTGTTACAGAATGCAGCAGGCGCTTAAACTTGTTGAACGATGGTGTGAAGACCATACCCTCTCTGTCAATCCTAAAAAGACTGAGAAGAGCACAGTCTTCACTAAACAGAAGAAACTGGGATACTTAACACCACCCAATTTCTGTAAAAATCCATTAACCTTTACTCCAGAGGTGAAGTATCTGGGCGTTATCTTGGACAAAGCACCAACTTGGACATCACACATTAGTTGCAAAATCAAAAAAGCAACTAAATCCGAAAGTTATAATGTTCTGTGATAAGATCCATGGTAGCTCCCGGAGAGCCATGAGATCTACAGCTACGATTGCGATGGAGACTATGCTGAACGTGCTGCCCCTACATATTTTGGGGGAGGTGGCCGTGATGGCGTTGCTTCGATTGCGATCAGTAAATGATAAGCAGGTTGTTAAAATGGGAATAGTCCGGAGCAAGCTCTGGAGTGAGCCTGTTCGTAAACAAACCCTCCTTAAAGCTCGCACAGACTACATTACACCTACTTTCTTAGGCATAGAAACGATACCCCAGAGCAACTCAAGCTCGGGTAAAACGCTGACCATCTACACTGATGGATCAAAGAAGGCTGGAGGTTCCGGAGCAGGAATTTTCTCGCACGATCTCCAGCTGCACCTTTACACTTCGTTAGGATCGTATTGCACGAGTGCTCAAGCCGAATTAACAGTTATAAACATAGCAGCTGATGCGATCATCGACTCCAAAAAAGTCGGCAGAAACGTTGTAATCTGCAGATGACACTGATAGCAAACAGACTATGCTGGAGGTTTGTAGGCACCAAACTACATAATCGTTGGTGAAGTCCTGTCAGCAATCACTCGAGGAGGCAAACGTATACAACAACGTCACGATAAAGTGGCGAAAAGGACATGATCATGCAGACAGGCTGAAGAAACGGGCGGGTCAGCGATCTCCCCTGCACCGTTTGTACCACTAGCTGTAAATACAGCATCAAAGTTGATAAACTCCATCTCCCATCGAGCTTTTTGCGACAGATGGGATGGGACAGCAGCAGGTGTCTGCTAAGAAAACTCTGCTATACCTTGACCGGAAGAGATCTACTCAGTTTCTGGGAAAATCAAAAAGTGACATGAGGCCTCTCATTCACTTCCTGACTCGCGTACTTAAGGGAATCCATTTTCGGAGTACCATGGCTCCAAATTTCGGATATAAGGAACATACCTTTCTGTTTTATATTAACGTTCATGAAAAGATTGTGCCGGTTTTCTGACCCTTGAATGAACAATAATTGTGGGGACGTACAAAGGACCCGCTGGGGCTTAAGTGCTGTGAAGAAACTCACCCCCACGTGAAACTACATACATATATACATCCTTCCCTATCTCTCTGCCGATATATCAGCCTCCTATCCTTAATTTCTCTCCAGCACTCTCCCAGGATCCTGCAATCCTTCTATGATTTTCTCGTAGTTCACTGCTCTCCCTCCCCATCCCTACTACCCATCTCCAATCCCTTGTTTGTACATGCTCCAGCAATACTTGTTCTCTCCACCCCCATACTTCTGCGCCGTACATCATTGTGCTCCTCACCAAGCCCTCAAACATAACCTTTCTTTTTCCCACATCCCTCCTAAAAATTCTCTTCCCCCATCACCAAACCTGTCCCATTACTCATTTCGCTTTTTTTTTGCCATCGCCCTCACGTGCGACCTGACCTTATTACTTTCCGAGAACGCCTATCCTAGGTACGTATACTCTTTCACTTCCTCTATCTCTCTTCCCTGCCACCTCCATTCCTCCCTCTTTCTTCTCTCCCCTTTGCAAAACTTCATGATTTTTGTCTTCTCGACGTTTACCTTCAACCCCTTCGCCTTAAAATATATATCTCTCCAGAGACTTCATCATTTCCTTTATCTCCACTGCCTCTCTAGCTACGACCACCAAATCATCCGCATACTCGTGCACCTTTGTTAATCCTATCACCACCAAGTCTAAGTCTTAGTCTAAGTATCCAAGTTCGCCGTATACAACGCAAATAATGTGAGACTAAGCGGGCACCCTTGTCTCAATCCCTTCATCGTTCTTAATACCTCGCTTAACTCTTCCTCCACTTAAACCTTGGCCATCGTGGCCGCCTTCAGGTCTATGAACAATGCATACAACTTTCCTCCCTTCTTGTTCTACTCCCTATTTGCCAGGTGTTTCAATATGTATTATTGTCAATTGCCCCTCTTCCCTTCCTGAATCCTGCCTGCCCATCCGGCAACAACTTCCCCCTCTCCATTTCCTCTTCCAATTTCCCCAGCAGTACCTTTGCATATATTTTAAATGTAGTGTCCAACAGGGTGATCCCTCTATAATTGCCCACCACCCTTTTACTCTCCCTTTTTATACTTTTATCTTTCTTGTAGCTTATACAAGATCAACAACACATCAACAACACAACATATATAACAATCATACTATGACAAACTATGAAATTCCTATGACAAACCTGTGGGTGCAACATATATGGAACATATTAGCAGGCCGTAAGCAAGCTATCCATCTTCTAGGTCATCTGTCTATCGACATTCTCTTCGTATGTCCGTACCATTTAAGTCTCATTACCTCGATTATCTCTTGTATCAACATTCCCCATTTTATGTCTCCTTGTCTTTCTGCAACACTCCATGTCCAGTCTCTTTATTACTACCTTAGTTTGACCAATTCTATTAATTATTTTCTCAATGCTATTCCCTTTGACTCCAATTTGTACTTCTAGATGTCACGTTTTTAGTAATGTTGCCCTCTAGAAGCAAAGTCTGTTTAGAGGTACTATAGGGAGTACTAGAACATTATTTCCTCCATTTTCCTGAACCATCCACTGATTAATCTCAAGTTAATCTTACGTTTGTACATAAAAAAGAAAAAGTGGTGATAAGCAGGAAATATATTGGATGACCTTATATGAGTTATCGAGGGCCTTGGACCTTGCGACTAATGTTTCTGGATCTTTAGAAAATAAGTTCCAAAATTTATCCCTATGCTCCTATGGCTGCCCTGAAGCTACAACATTCATGGAAAGTATTAGAAGACCATATGAAATTATGTGAGGTAGTCTCAGGTTGCTGGAGTTTCTGATTCTTGAGAAAATAAATTATAAGTTACCATATAGGTACTTTGTCTTCTCCCGGTTAACAATCAGACTCTCTTTCCAGTTTGTTCCAATACGATGACGCAATTCTCCTCATCTCTATTACTGGTACCCACAATATCAATATAATTGGCGTATCTCAGCAGTTGTTTCAAATTATAAGTGATCGTGCTAATAATAATAACTTATTTCAACCAGTTAGCACAGTACATAGCATTGGTCATCATCGCAAATAAAAAAAATCAAATAAATCATAACAACAGTTATTATAAATATGTCAGACCTCCAG